CCTCTCGAACGTATATTCCTAAGAGACGTTTCTGATAACTGATTCAAGGGTGCATCTCTCTCGAACGTATATTCCTAAGAGACGTTTCTGATAACTGATTCAAGGGTGCATCTCTCTCGAACGTATATTCCTAAGAGACGTTTCTGATAACTGATTCAAGGGTTGCATCATTTGCTTTGCTTCAGCTGTTGCTTAATATTGAATTTAGTTCAGAACTAAATAGCTGTCAATTTTTCATTTTTAATATTTAGTAAAAGAAACGTTGGCTAATTCGTAATCTCTCAAATCAAGCTCAGCTAAGAATCTCTTGTGATTATAACGATCGTATATTGTAGAAATAATTCAGTTTCTTTGACGTCAGAAAGTATAAGATAAAGTCATTACGTCAAATTACTGTATGCTACAATATTTTAACGATTACAGGGAAATATTTGTCTTTGTGATTTTGTAATTTAGAGGAAGAGATGAAGATGTCGGTATCTTATGACGAGTACGATAAGGCCCTTGTGGAACAGTGTGCATTTAACATCGCTGCCATGGCAACAGTGGTGGAAACGAATTTCGATTACTACGCTCAGGATGACTTTAGAGTTCGAAAACCAGACATTTTGATAGAGGTTGGCACATACATTTAATATGCATTATTTCCGTAATTATATTCCAAGTCGGAATAGATTAACACTTGTTCAATATTTTATATACTAACAGATTTACAATGTTCGGAATAGGCCTAACAGACGTGCAGTTGCTGGGAATAGATTAGGCTTAACATTTGTGCGATGTCATTATTCCCGACTAAGTTTATCCTATAATAATTAAAGATGATGTCGAGTGTACATATTTTCAATACTTATAAACCAAACAGTGGCCTCATTATGTTATTGAAAATAATTAATAGAACTTATCTCCTAAATATTTTAGAGAAAACCAGTTGAAATGCTGCACACAATGTTTCTGTTTAAAGGATTCTCTTACTAAAAATATGTTTAAGTAGAGCGCATATCTCCGTCGGCTCTCAAAAAATGTGTCCGTCGTTATCAGTGGACACTGACCATTTTTGGCAGGACAATATATTCTACATATTTCCACCAAGTTTCATCAAAATCCGATCATTTTTGACTAAGTTATAGAGCATAAAAATAGTGTTAAAAAATCAGTCCCCATGTTAACAGGTAGGGAGTTTTTCAATTTTAGTGACCCTCCAAAAACAAATAATTTCTAAATTGGGTCATGTTCCAAATGTATACCGACATATCTATTCAACCATTTTCGAGAAATCTTGCTAACAAACACACATACAGGGGTGAAAACACAGGGATAATTAAAACCAAGAAACAGTTGCATCATAGCAGTCAATAAAGAGGCATTTAGATAAACCTAAAGGTAAGTGTTGAATAATTTTGTTATAGATGTATTGGTATCATTCCAAATAAATATGTTAGCAATCTGTTGTTTGAATGAAACATTTTATTACCTAAATAGTTTTGTTAATGATATACATATAATTATTTTATGCCATTTTGACAACAGATAAATGTACAAATTGTGATCATTTCGAGTTAACTATTACTGCCTGATCTCCTGATCGGAATTTAGGTCTTTGTGACCTAGGAGGGTCAGGTACTCTGAGACCTCTTCCTCCCATTACGTAAAATTGGTTTGTTTGTTTTGAATTTCGCGCAAAGCTACACGAGGGCTATCTGCGCTAGTCGTCCCTAATTTAACAGAGCAAGACTAGAGGGAAGGCAACTAGTCATCACCACCCACCGCCAACTCTTGGGCTACTCTTTTACCAACGAATAGTGAGATTGACCGTCACATTATAACGCCCCCATGGCTGAAAGGGCGATCATGTTTGGTGGGACTGGGATTCGAACTCGCGACCCGCAGATTGCGAGTCGAGCTCCCTAACCACCTGGCCATGCCGGGCCACGTAAAATTGGAACAATTATTTAAAATGTCAGTAACGAATTTGGTCACCATGGATACTTAAGACTTACTGAAAAATATTGGTCCATTCGACCATCATCCCAAACTATCAGGTTTAGCAGTGTGTTTGTTACAGATGATACGGTTACCAAATGCGTTTGCGACGCGTCAGCAATTGGTCCCAAACATGCATTATGGGATTTAAGTCGCGAGACATGACAGGTTAATTTATTTGTATCAAAAATCCATTAATAACGCACCAACCAAGAGAACTCAAATATCCTTGAATCATTATGTTTTTTGTTTTAAAGACTATCCATCCCTCCATGTCTTGAACAGGAAGTATTCAGGCCGATTTAGAAAATGTTTTGAAGTTGATCCAAGAAGTTGTGGGACATAAATTAGATGATCCTTCGTCATTACGAACGTTAAGGCTCAACTCCAGTTGTATTATCAACCGAAATAATCGGGAGTCAATTGGAAACAGGATGAATTGAAAATATAACCAGAGATTTTTAACTCAAGAAAAGAGTAACTCAAGATGATTAGTAAGCCTACTATGGTTCTGAAAATTGCAATCCCCAACCTTAGAACTGTATTAGTTAAATTAAATATATGCCTTTAGTTAATTGATTCTATAACTTCTGCAAATGTGTGTTAAAGAAAATTCTCAATCCTAATACTCGCAATGTCAGTGACACCGTGAATCGATTTTTTATGCAGAAACAAACAAACAAGCGATATATTAAAACATTAAATATAAGTTTTTTATAACCTTATGATTGTGAAAAACATCTAACGAATGGTTTTGCAATCTTTCAGACTGAGGGAGACTTTGTTGAAGGTCAGGAGTTTACTGTCCAGGCTCGCCTGAAAAACCCTCTTCCCAAACCTTTAACTAAACCTATGTTTGTTCTTGAAGGTCCAGGACTTAGCCAGCCAATCAAAATGCCACTAAAAGGGTATGTAAATATTAGCTAAATACGTGCGTGGAATAGAGGTATGTGTTGCAATGGGATTCTATTCTTACAGTTAAAAAATTAGACGTTTTAATATTTAAAACATACCAATCAAAGTAATCAGTCAAACGCCAGCATTTTCTCCCTGTGTGACTTCCTGAAGCTAACTAGATAAAATCCCTTAATAAATGTATGATATATGTGAATTGGACTGTCTGAAGTGTGTTTTAGACTTTCTTACAGAACTTGCTTATCCGGTTTCAGAAATGTTCTACCCGAGGCAGAGACTCAAGTAAGCTGTAAGCTAACACCAAAAACATCTGGGGAGAAAACCATCGTGGCTAAGTTCCAGTCCAGAGAGTTGGAGGACGTGGATGGATTCAAAGTCATCCATGTTAGACCCAAGACGGATTCGACTAATAAACCAGAAAGCAATAACTGAAATGTGGCCTTTGAACGACGTCGATGATAATTGTTTGGCAGGATAGCATTCACACATTACTGGTACCCTTGGTGGACTCTTTTTAACATGCTCGACCACATACACATTTATTAAGCTTTACCCACATTTCAACTATAGGACGTTCAGTTGGAAGGGAAGGTCTTTTTGTTTATTATTATTATTAATTATAACGACCAAGATATGCAATGCACTGCCAAGCAGCGAGTTTTGTTTGTTTTTTACAAGAGCTTCGCTGACGATCCTCTTAACAGTCAAAATTTAATAAACAAAAATAATACCAAAGCATTTCGAATTTAAAACCACCCATTGAATCTAAAGCATTAAATAACCACGAAGGTGTAATTGTAGTTTTTTGTATGTCAACCATTAAACAGGCCTTGAACCTTCATTAGGTGTTCAAGAAAAAGTTTTGTTACACATTTCTTAACAATGGGAGGGTTATTCACTTCGTATTTCATATAGATGTCGTTGTACGTGTTTACTGACCAAGGTGATGGAAATTAAAATATAAAATAAAATAACGAGCGTTTAAGCTAAAAAGCTACACTGTTAAAATAAATGCCTTGATGTGAAAGATTGCTTTGTAATATTCTATATTTTTAGCTCGAAAATATTTGCATGTCTAATTGTGTTTGAACTAGCTTAAAAATAATTGTGCAGGACTAGAGTCCGTCTTTGTGAAGTAAATGAGGTTATTGGAATAATAAAATTGAAATATCGGTGTTCTTATTAAAATATTTACAAGGAAATTCGAACAGTGGAACTACTTAGGTAATGTCGTTTCTATAACTTATATTATGTCAGCTAAAATTGCTTCTTAAAACTATTGACTTTAAAGTAATAACTTTAAGTGGTTTGAAATAGGAACTTTTATCTGAGCGTCTATGGTTGCGATTTGATTCTGTACGAGTGTCCTTGCTATTTAAAAGATCATATTTTTGTAACGCAAATAACGTAATCTTCATTACGTAGATCATTTGCATGGATATAAAATAAACTACAGATGGCATTACTTTGTGAGGTTGGAAATTAAAATGTTCGTGTTTTTCTTGTGTTCAGGTTGATAAGTGGTTTAATAAGGTAGACAAATTCATATTGTTTGCCTGATGGTTGTTTTTATTGTTTGTACTTCTTTATTTGGTTCTTCTGAAACGTTGCTGAAGAGCTAAAAACTTAAAAATAAATACTGTCATATTGTTGAAACAATGTTTCGTTCTTTGCACTTTTTTTTTCTATAACACTGTCAATGAATTAAAAGTTTAAAATGTAAATGACGCCATATTATTTAAACATAGTAAGTGTTGTATTAGTCGACAATCCATATGTTTCAAATATAACTGTTTGTACTTTCTTACCTGTTTTTTTTTTTTAATGTTGATGAGCTCTAATTTTGTTGCTAACTCTGTTGCTTAAATGTTTTGATTCAATAAACTTGATATTTTGTTGGTATGAAGCACCGATTTAGGTAAAGTTAATTTGGAAATGAGCGATGCCCGAACAATTTGAGAATTCTTTAACAAATTAGCTAGTATTTAGACAGTCTTTCATGTTCCCTCGTGTGAAGATGTACTTGATAGATAAAAATAAAAGCAAAACAAAAAAGCATTTCACGGTCATTAGATATACTTTACAATTTATCTAGAGAAAAAGAAAAAAGAAATCGTTTGATTAGTAATTTACCCATGGAAATTCACATGCAACTGTGGCAACGCGAAAAAAAAAATGCATATTCTGTTCTGAACGATATTCGTGTCAGTTTTTCAAGTAAATCCATGAAGTCACTCGTAAAAACTGCCAAGCCGCTCTGATTCCCCACTTAGAGGTTCGATGTGGAAATATCAAAAATCCAAACATTGATACATATATTTCACGATCCATCCTCTGACGTTCATGTCAATTTTCATGTAAATCCGTTGGTTCCAGCCCTGAGAGCCCTAGATCACCTTGGCCCTTATATATGAGCTTACAGTTAATCACTTCCAAAGTCTGAATGTAGATTATTGCTTTGAACGGCTTCCTGCATGTTAATATTAATTTTCAAATAAATGAGATCATTCGAACTTGAGAACCTGGCGTCCATTTTGGAGCTTCTTTTTTTTTTCTTCGCTTTGTTAGAAATTGTCAAATGAGTTCCATAATCAAGTCAACGTAGATAAAAACTTAGATACAACTGAAAAATGCTGTATATACTAAAAAAAAAAAAGATATAATGCAAGCTCTTTGGAAAGTGAACTCGTAAACAAACATGAGTGGCAAAAGTATATTCAAAGTGCAGAAAAATAGAAAAAATGGCATTGAAACTTTATGATGTTACTTCAATCGTAATTAAAACAAGAGATTTTGCATTTTTATTAAAGGTATGGAAAATTGAAAACGTTTTTATTCCGAGTTTGCTTGTAAAGAAGTATTTTGAACTTTTTTTTGTGTTACATTTGCATCGAAAGGCAACTATTTAGGTGAAAATTATTTTTGCCTAATTTTTGTGCCAAACTGTTCAATAAAAGACTCGTTTTCTGTTTTAATTGTTTTGTGTTTTCATTTTATCATTTCTACACTGTCACAAATTACATCGTTATTCTTGTTACTGTGGTAATCTTGTCATGTCATTTAAAATGAATCTCGTTACAAACTTACGAAAAATAATTTATAGTCTATGACAGATAAAAAGTACTTTCTTTATATAATGTAATAAATAAAGTGTTAAAATCCAGGTAATTCTAAATAACTCTGCACGTTGTCCTAGAAACGTATATAATATAAAGCTTTTCATCTCGTGAATTTAGTCGCACAACTGCAGTTCTTTTATGCTTTTATACCCCCGTAGTTAAGTAACGGTTTTTTTAGTACTAGAACACACCCTTTCTTTAAATAAATGTTTCCTTCGCACATTGAATGACTTTGGAAAATCAAAATGGAGATGCTCGTCTTCTGCTAATTTTCGTCAGATTGTGCTTTTATAGAAAATTCACTGTAAAGTATTCCTTTAGTGCCACTAAATATGAAGATCTGTTCAAAGGACAAGTGCAAATTGAATGTTATTTGATAATTTCTAAGTTAAATGCTGAATGATATAGGAGATTGTATCCAGCAGTCGGGTGTGAACCAATGATTACTATAAATGAACTTTGACTTCAGTGATTTATGGTGTGCATCAACAATGTTCTCCTTACTTACAATGTTACTCCTTACACTAAGGGTGTGCTATAAGAGTGGCAGTCAAATTACACTTATTTGGTCAGACAAAGTAGTCCCCCAAGATTTGGCGGTTGGTACTATCGATTAACTGCCTTCCCTCTAATTTGTTAGTTCAAAGTCAGAGACAATGATGCTTACATTGACCTTGTGTAACTTTGTGCGTAAGTATACTAATTAACACTATTAGCTATTCTTGCTATTAAAACTTTACATTACGAGCAGAAATATATTTTCTCCTTACATATGCATGAAAACTGATAGATCGAAACTATCGACTATTATAAAGCTTTTGAACGTGCTCCTAGACTTAGACTAAATTTACTGAAACTTCAATCTAATATGCAAATCAGTATAAAAATTGTTTGCTTTTGGCAATTCGGTTGAAAAGGTACGTTATATATGTCTTCTTAGCAGAACGTATTTTCAAACATATTTGTAAACTATGTTTTAATTCATGAAAATCTATTTTTGGGCTTTTCAATAGATTTTTGAGTTAATCGGAGACCCGAATTAAATCAGTTTGAAATGGATGAAATATTTATTAGGTGGCGCTTAAAAAAGCTAAGTATTGTTGCGTCAGCGAGGTCACGTGACTAGTTTCACG